CTACTAAGCGACTAACAGGTTTAAATCACTGACCTCTTTTGGTCGGCAGTCGAATGCCTTAACCAAATAAAGGTACAAGTAGCTTCATTCTGAACAATACTAAAAGTTTTAGAAAAACCTTATTCATGGCATAAATAAATCGTATGTAGTTGTCGCTTAGAATTGTACCGTGTATTCGAGTTTAACAGTTTTTAGAAATTGCAAAGGCAATAATTTTTACAGTGGAGGGATTGCCAATCACCAGCTTAACCAGGTGCTCACACCTAGCGTTACCAGTTGTTCTGAAGGGGGTTAGTTGCTTTTGAAGATTTGTTAGTAATAACATGACAGTTGTGGTTTAGGGAAAGGAAAAGGAAAGAGTACTGAACTATTAGATACCAGAAATAGGTAATCTGGTCTTAGGCAGCTTTGGTTACCCATGTAAACCTTGGACAGTTCACTTTGGGACCTTCCCTCCTGCCCTCCCCCCTTTTCCTTTTACCACTTCCTGTTAGCTGTGGTTGGGTTGCGTGATGTCCCCATGCACAGAGATTGGAGGGTTGTGATCCCTAAGGCTTCCTTTCACTGGCTGATTTTTCCAGAGTAGATCTTCAGGCCTTTCCTCAAGGACGTGTGCTATCTGCAGACACTGTTCTGAGTTTTGCATTCCTGTTAATTTATCCAATCCTCGCTACAAGAAGCCCTGGTGGTTAAGGGCTCGACTACTAACTGAAAGGTTGGCGGTTCGAACCCACCACTACTCCCAGGGAGAAAGATATGGCAGTCTTCATCCATAAAGATTACAACCTTGAAAACCCCAGTGGCACAGTTATGCTGTGTCCTATAGGGTCACTACAAATGTGGTTCGAATCTGCGGCATTGAGTTAATCCACACTACATCCTGGTGAGATAAATACTATTATTGTTTTTATTTTAAATGCGAAGGCATTAAGCCATGGACTGGTTAGATAACTTGCCCTAAAACACTATCTAGAAAGTGATAAGGCAGGTTTTAACCCAGGCAGCTGACACCAGCCAGAGTCTGCTCCTTGACTATGCTATGGTGCCTTTTTCCTCTCATAGGTAGTATGTGTCTACCCTCTGGTTAGTGGTTTACCATCCCCTTCCCCACCCACTCCCAGTGATCATCAAAAAATACATATTTTGTGTGTGTGTGTGAAACCTTTTTCTTGACTTTTTACAATAATGGTCTTGTAGAATATTTGCCTTTTGTGATTGACTCCTTTACTCGGCATAATGACCTCTTTGTTCATCCATGTTATGAGCTGTTTCACAGATTCATCATTGTTACTTAATGTTGTGTAGTATTCCATTGTGTGTATGTAGTACCATAGTTTGTTGATCCATTCCTTTGTTGGTGGGTGTTTAGGTTGTTTCCATCTTTTTGCTATTGTGAATAGCTGTGATGAACATGGGTGTGCATATATCTGTTAGTATCACGGCTCTTATTTTTCTAGGATACATACCTGGTAATGGGATTGCTGGATCATCTGGTATTTCTATTTCCAGCTCTTTAAGGAAACACCACTCTGTTTTCCACAGTGGTTGCACCATTTTACAGTCCATCGAGTTACTTCTGACTCCTGGTGACCCCATATGTTAGAGGAGAACTGCTCTGTGGGGTTTTCACAGCTATAATCTTTATGGTGATTGCCAGGCCTGTTTCTTACTCTGTGCTACTGGGTGGGTTTGAACCACCAACCTTTTGGTTAATAGTCCAGCACTTTGCCATTTGTGTCACTGTTTTGGTTACCTAGTGCCACTCTGACAAGAATATACCACATATGGAATGATTGAACAAACAGGAGTTTATTCTTTTACAGTTTAGAGGCTGTAAGTCTGAGTTCAAAGTGCCAGGCTCTGGGGCTGGGTAAAAGTCCCTCAACCTTGGGCTTCAGCTCTGCCTCCAGCTCCCGGCCCACTGAAGCTAGAGGGTTTTCTTCACTCAGACAGCTGCTGGCTGCTGAGACTGACAAACCCAAGGTTGACAAGCAAAAAGGCACAGTCCCAATGTTACCAAACCACTCAGCAGGCCATTAATTCGAGTTCATTGAAAGTCCCAAGGTCAGCAGAGCATGGCAGGCTGCTGAACAACGACATGGCTCTGTGCAAGTTTCAAGCATGCCATGAGCTAGAGACCATTCCCAAAGCTGTTTCTTAAATACGGCAAGCAACCAAATCACTGAAACAGCTACCCAGCTGCTTGTGGTAGACCCCACCATGGAGCTGATTGCCAGTGTCATCATGGGGAATGACTACCACCAGCTGCCCAGCCATTTAACCAAGCCCAGCCAAGTTGACACACAAACTTAACTACCATAGTCACGTAGGGACTCATGGTGTTGTAAAAGGATGCAAGACCTAAACCAAATTACCTCTTACATCTCTTTCACTCAAATTCCAAATATTTTTAGCTAAAAAAATAATGATTTCTTGAAAAATACTGATAAAGATTTACTGTTTGTTTGGCTTATTTTAATTAAAGAATTAAAAAAAAAAAAGAACTAACTGTTCTCGAGTCAGATCTGACTCATAGTGACCCCTTCTTGGGTTTCCAGGTTGGTATCACTACGGAAGTAGATTGCCCAATCTTCCTTCCAAGGAGTGGCTGGTGGGTATGTCCTTTAAAATGTGGTAACAAGTTATTTTAGTAAATTCTTAATTTATAATATTAATTTGACTAGGGGACTATTTCAAGTAATTTGGTTATGAGTTATTTTATTAAGCAAAGTATACTTTGTGAAATACCTGGCCATTCCATGATGTAAATTCACATTTTCATTTGTTAGTAACAGTTGCTTGTGATTTATTCCAAAGCCACATGCCAATCAGATTAACTATACCACTATTCACCTCTATTGTGAATAATTTTAAAATTACCTAGTATGGACATGGTGCTGACTCATTTACAACTAACACTATTTATATTTTGAAAACAAGAAATTTTAGCATCCTGAATGTGTTGCCTTATGCATTCTGCTGAAGTGTCTTAGTTTTTAAGCCCCCATCTCCTGCTCTGAGATTAAACATTCTTTTAAGTCCAAGCAGTCTTTTGTTTAATAGTACATCATGGAGCCAGTATTGATTCTTTTTCAAGGATGTTGCTGATTTTGAGAAATTCCAAGATGATTTTTTTAACCATCAAGAAAATTAACCAAACCCAACACATTGCTGTTGAGTAGCTTCCATCTCATGACCCTGTAAGAAAGAGTGGAACTGCCCTATAAGATTTCCAAGGCTGTAATCATCACAGAACTAAACTGCCACATCTTTTTCCGAAGGAGCAGCTGATGGGTTCAAACTGCTGGCCTTTCACTTGGCAGCCAAGCACTTTAACCACTGCATCACTGGGACTCTTTCAAGGAAATGAGAAATGTTGATTTTTAGAAATAGACAATATATTTATATATTAATAGTAAACAGAATTTGTTATTACTGGGCATACCATAATTGCTTTTTAAAAAGAAACAGCAAGTATATCAAGGGAGAATTGTTGACTGGGAAAGACCAGCTGGTTTACAGACTAGAGGTCTTCCAAAGTGATATTCCTTGGTGAGTTCCACATTCCAGGATTAAGCTTGATAGAGATTTGATACTAAACTGCAGTATATGTCATAATGCCAAGTTCTTTAATGTTTTTGTATCTCCATTTTTTTATCTGTACTAGGAAATAGTGGTACCCAACATCATTAAGTTTTTTGAGGATCTGATGAGTTAATAGAAATAAAGAGCTTAACATACTGCTTAGCATCCAGCCAACGTTGGTGTCCTTGCCTTTTTAATTAGATTTATGGTGGGGGGTTACTGGAGATGTTCAGGGGCAGGCACCTCGCTGTTATTTTCTTATCTACCGCTTTATTCCTGGACCTTGCTGATAGCAGCATTTATATTTAATAGACATCTGTTTTTAACTAAAAGTATGTTTCAAATCTTTCCTTCAGTGTGGTAATAGTCTTTTCAACCAGGCAGTTCTTTCAAATATCTTAAGTTAATTTCCTTCAGTCATTAATTTGTGATGAACTAATTTGTTTTTTCTCTACATGTATTAACAGTGTAGGAGCTCAAGCCTGGGACGATGGTGTGTATTCCATGTATCGTCATTCCAATTCTGCTCTGGGTCTACAAAAAATTCCTGGAGCCGTACATATACCCCCTGATCTCCCCTTTTATTAGTCGTGTATGGCCTAGAAAAGCTGTACAAGAATCCAGTGATCAAAACAAAAGTAAAGGAGACTGTAAGGTAAGAACACAACAATGCATTTATTAAGGGTACTGCAATTGGGTAAAACACTTGACTTTTTACCCTTTTGGAAAGGCAAGATTTTGACATGAGAAGCTTCAAGAGTGTGCCTTGATTTCTTTCTCTTTTTTTTCACAATAGGAGAGTTGGTTTTGCTTTTAAATATTAACATTTGGTTTTAACTGAAGTATTAAACTAGTCCTCTGGTTAAGACATTTGCTGCTTATAACCAATATGATAACCAGTGTTTCCCGGCTGGTGACACTAGTGGTGACTGACTAGCTGGTGAATGAGAAGATAACTACTATTTGTTTCCATGTTGGATAACTTTTGGTAACAGTTTTAACTGGTAAGATTATAGGGTTTTGTTTTTTTTTTAAACAAAAGGAAGATTTTTTTTTGAAGTTAATATTTACACAACTCTGTTGTCTTCAGCAATTGTACTTGTTAAATTGAGTGGATTATACTAGCCCTTCTAATTTAGCCGTTCTGCACATTTCTGGAGGGGGTAGAGGTGGAATTCTCAGCTTCATGTGTGAAACTGGGTTTGATTCCCCCATGCACAACCACCACCCTTCCATCAGTGGGGGCCTGCATGTTGCTGTGATGGTGAACAGGTTTCACTTATGTAAAGGAGAAAAAAACAAAAAAACTCACTGCTGTCGAGTCTTCCAACTCGTAGTAACCTCTTCTTGGGTTTCCGAGGCGGTATCACTACAGAAGTAGATTGTCCAATCTTCCTTCTGAGGAGTGGCTGGTGGGTTTGAACCGCCAGCCTTTTGGTTAGCAGTCATATGCCTTAGGCAGTATGCCACCAGAGCTCCTTCTGTAAAGAAAGACCTGGCCATCTACTTTCATATGGGTCACAGCGGTCCTGTCTGCAGCCAGTAGTGGGGATGGTGCAGAACTAGGCAGCATTTCAACCCATTGTGCATGGGGTCACCATGAGTTAGGTGGGGAGCAGGGAGGGGTGCACTTGATGTCAGCTAACGACAGCAATAGCACATTTCTAGAAGTGAAGTTGTTTCATTCTGAAGTTTTTAAAGATAATGAGTGTCTTTTTGTCATAATTATTCCTAAAGTGGTTTTTCATTTTAGGGTGCAGATGTAAATGGATTACCAACAAAAGGACCAACAGAAAGCTCGGATAAAAAGAAAGACTAAACTGATTTTTTCCAAAGGATCTCATTGTTTTAAAAATGGACCTTATAATATGAAGCACCTTTATAATTGTCTCTGACCTTTTTCTCTGAAACTAGAATTCAGGATAGTTTAGATATTTACCTGATACTAATCAGGAATACATAGTATTTATATTTAAAATGTATTTAGTTTCACTTAATAACCTCATTCCTGAGTTCCTTTTTCATTGAAGTAGATTTCTTTTTTATTACTCCAGTTGTAATAATATGAATAAACAGGAGGCTTGGGCCAGTAGACACTCTCTGTCACTAAATCAGAACTTAAAATCCTCAGGCCACTAGTGTCATTCACACGAATTTGACTGCTATTTGCTCTCACTTCTTTGGCTTTTCTCATTTGAATGGAATACAGTTTTACTGTGGGGCTGTGCAAGGAAATGAAGAGCAGCATTTTTGGAGCCAACAATGACTTGAAACTCAAAAGATATAATTACTACCTAACACAGTGGAGCAGCTTCTTGATGGTAATAGTAATTACTGTTTCTTGCTTTGAGGAGAATAGGAAAGATAGGGAAATAGGGGACCTTCCTTGAAAAATGAAACATCTTTTGCATAAATGTCTAATGTATATTATAAAATTCTTACCCTCCTTGAATTCCTTTTTTTTTCCATAAATGTACTAAATATTCCATTTACCTTGTGGGTCTTTTTTCTTTTAAAGTCTGTTTAAATACTTAAAAGAAAAAATTTTCACCACATCAAAAAGCAGAATTATAATGTGAGGATACCTGGAGAGGATGGGACAGCAATGTTTTGCTTTTGAAGATTAAATCATAGCTGTTACCTTTTGTTAGATAATAGCATACTCCAAAATTTAGTGGTTTTCATCAGCAATTGTTCAAGTTCTCTGGGTTGCATGGGTAATCCTTGGCTGGTTGGACTTACTCATAGAGCTGGAGCCTGGGCCTTCCTACATGGTCTTCCAACCTGGGCTGCTTCACTTTAGGGATCTGTAAATATTTAAAGATGATCAGACATAGCTTTATATCATATATCTTCCCCCTGAAGCAGGGAGAGGTTAGAAGGGACTTCTGACCTTGGGTCCCCAGTGACACAGGCAACTGGTAGAAGAGGAAGGATCTGCAGCCCCTCGAGTGCACTAGGTAGGAGGTCAGAAGTCCTGGGTCCTGAGGCTCTGTTACGGGTTGTGTGTCTGGTCAGGTCACATCCACTCTGGACTTCTCATGTTGACCAGCAGATCTCACCTTTTCTGCCCCAGTTCACCTGGAGGATAAGATAAATTCCCACTAGGAAAGAAAGTCGGTTGTTGAGTTTGTTTTTTAAAGTTTAAAAACTATTGTAACAATAACATGTTCATAGTAAAACAATACAGGCATCTTGAAGGTTAGTGTTCTTCCTCATTCTCCTCCCAGCTCCGCAAATAGTTGCTGTTAGTATTTTGTGTGTAGCCTTTTAGCAATTTTCTTAATATATGTTTATTAAATATACAAATGATTTCTTAAAAATGAAATATATTTCAAGGTTTATAATGTCCCTACTTTGCTAGTCCCTAGCTGAACTCCTTTTGCTGTTGCTTTTGGCGTTTATCTCCATATTTATAAATTATAGATAGTGCTATCTCTTGAGTTACTAACTTGAGACATTATTGACTTCCCATGACAGTTGAGATATCTTACACTGTGCTCCCTCTGTTTCCTCTCCCACATATCCTCCCAACCTTCTGTACATGTTGGTGGTCATTAATCAGTGTTTAGTCATTCTGAGTGTGCCAGATGTCTTCCATTTGCCCTTCCAAATCTACTCTGGCCTCTTCACCCTGCTGCTCTGCCAGAGAGAGCTGTATGGATGGCATCAACAGGTTTCCCATGCCCTCTTGGTTCTTTTGGGTTTGGCCAGTGGGGATCTGCACCAGTGGATGAAAAGGAGGAGAGAGGAAAAGGTGAAGGTGGGGTATTTATTCCATTGGTCTCCCTATGAAGTCTCAGACAAAGTACCCCTCAGCCAACAGTCACTGCACTTTTTCAAGGTGGCCAATTGCATATGACCCTCCTTTCAGATTCCACTAACTTCTTGCCCCTTTAGGCCTAGGAGTGGTAACATAAATGTTGCTGTTGGCGCAGGGTTGTTGCATTATCTCAAAGATGACATCTACTGCTTTCTGGAACACTGATACAATGAACATGTAAATATTCTTCAGTGCACGGAAGATGATAGTGTACTGAAATTGGGTTTCTTTGTACCTACATGTACTTGGTTTTCTCCATACACTTCTCCTCTCTTGACTAGTTGGTGCCTAAGCCTTGTGCACAGCTGTGGTCCTGTGACTTTTCACATTGTAACACACTGGTTCTGAATCTTTCATATTTTATGTAGTAGTAATAGTTCTGAAAAAGGGAGAAACTGAAACGTAGTTGAAATCCTAGGGTGACGCTAACAGAAAGGTTGGGGGTTTGAGTTCCCCAGAGGTGCCCCAGAAGAAAGGCTTGGTGATCTACTTCCAGAAAAACCATGGAAAGCACCATGGACACATCTGGGGCAATTGATTTTTGACAAGGGTGCTAAGGCCATTTGATGGGGAAAGAGGCGTCTCTTCAATAAATGATGCTGGGAAAATTGGATTTCCATGTGCAGAAAAATGAAACAGGATTTGTGCCTCACCATACACAAAAAATGGATTAAAGACCTAAATGTGCAAACTAAAGCTAGAAAATTCTTAGAAGAAAAATCAGGGGCAATATTTTCAGGCCTAACTTTTAACAGTGGGTTATCTGGTATTGTAACAAAAACACAAACGGCAAAAGACAAATAAATGGGCCCTTACAAAAATTAAAAACTTGTTCATCAAAAGGCTTTACAAAAAATGTGAAAAGACAAGCTACCAACTGGGAGAATATCTTTGGAAACCATGTATCCAACAAGAATCTAATATCTGAAGTATATGTAAAACTTTGACTGTATAACATCAAAAATATAAATAACCCAGTCATAAAATGGGCAAAGGACTGGAGTAGCCTTTTTACCAAACAGGACATTCAAATAGCCACTAAACACATGAAAAGATGCTGAGCGTCATTAACCATTGTTGTTGTTGTTATGTGCCATCGAGTCAAACCTGACTCATAGCGACCCCTCCTTGGGTTTCCGAGGCAGTATCACTACGGAAGTAGGATTGCCCAACCTTCCTTCCGAGGAGTGGCTGGTGGGTTTGAACCACCAGCCGTCTGGTTAGCAGGCAAGTGTCTTAGCCACTATGCTACCAGAGAGATGAAAATCAAAACTGCAATGAGATACTATTTCACTCCACTAGGATGGCTAAGATAAATGACAATGTTGGTGAGGATGTGGGGAAGTTGGAACCCTTGTCTCTTGCTGGTGGGAATGCAAAATGGTACATCCACTGTGGAAAACTAAAAATAGAACTACCTAGCAATTCCACTCCTGGGTATACACCCAAAAGGCCTAAAAGACTCAAATAGAGACTTGTACACCAATGTACATTGCAGTACTGTCCATAATAATCAAAAATGGAAATAATGCAAATATCTATCAACAGATGAATGGATAAACAAAATGTGGTACGTACATACCATGGAATGCTACTCAGCCAGAAGGAGAAATTAAGTCTTGATACATGCTACAGTATGGATAGAGCTGGAAGACATTATGCTGAATGAAATAAGTCAATCACAAAAGGACAAAAATGTATGACCTCATTTATATAAAAAGAAAAGGCAAATGTATAGAGTACAAAATTTATTAGTGGTTACTAGGGACAGGAGCTCTGGTAGCATAGTGCCTAAGGCACTTGACTGCTAACCAGAAGGCTGGCAATTCAAACCCACTAGCCACTCCTCGGAAGGAAGGTTGGGCAACCTACTTCCGTAGTGATACTACCTGGGAAACCCAAGGAGGGGTCGCTATGAGTCAGTCCGGGCACATAACAACAACAACAAGGGACGGGAGGGAGGGGGAAATGGAGGGAGAGATATCATTGATTAAACTTACAGTTGCATAGCCAATCATTGTAATTGTTGTCAATAAATTGTACATCTCTGAAAAATTAAATTGGCAAAAGTTGTATGATGGGTGTATTTTCAAGAATGACAAAAAAAAAAAGCTGCTGAGGCTGCTTTTGTACAAACACCTCATAGGATTTGGTTTCTTGGTTTGGAGGTTTAAGGTCATAATTTCATGGGACATCCCAGTCAGTTGGCCTAATAACACCTTTAGTACTTCTGTTGTTCTTTCTAGTTTGTTGGGTAGTGCCCAGGGTCTTAAAAGCTTGAGAGTGGACATCCAGTGTAAGACAATTGGCCTGTATTTGCCTGGAGCAACAGAGGAAGAAGGAGCAGCAGGAATAGAAAAATGGATGGAACGTGTTGTTAATTGCCTCTATGAACACCTGCCTCGTTTGCCATGAGACCAGAACTGGATGGCACCCAGCTACCATTACTGGCATTTTGGTCAAAGATCATGTAAAAGAATCCTGATCAAAATGGAAGGAAAAAAAAAAAAATCAAATTCTCATTGATTATAGACTTCCTGGAGCCATGAGTTTGAATGAACTCCTGAAACTATTGTCCTGAGATCATCTTTATACATTAAACTAGTATTATCCCCTGAAGTTTTCTCAAAACCAAACAAGAGCTTAACTAGTGAAAAATACCTGCCTTCAGTATTAAGCTCTGTTAAGAACTATGTATATGGGATTAGATTGACAACAATAACTCGAAAGATTACATAGGAACTGTTACGGGAATTTGGAATTTCCCTTTGGACAGATTCAGAGAAACCAAAATATCTGCCCAGGGGTTATCATTACCTGCATGAGCTTTATTTAGAATAGGAGAAAAGAGAATCGAGACTATAGATGAAAGTAAGCATAGACTTACAAAATGGTGCTTGCAGTTGGATCCAGTAGTTGGCGGGGCTGGAATGGATCCAAAGTGTCCACTGAATTCACCCATTTCTCAGGGGAATATTTATACCTGAGTCTGAGGA